ATTGAATCTTACCCAACAAATATTTAACTTTCTTGGTTCGCTTAGAAATGAAATAGCTCCATTTGATAGACACTGCAATAAAAATGTTATTAGATTAGTAAATTTTCAGTCGAGTAATACTTGTCAGAGTCAGAAGCTAATTGACTCATATAAGAGTTCATTTGGTCAATAAAGCTAAAATATCAAATATTTGACTAGATGCAAATAGTGATTATCGCTGAAGGTAAGGAAAATTTCAATGGATTATGATTTTTATGTTAAAGTATGAAACATGATTGGTGCTTACCTTTATAGCAGTTTATTAAATCATCCAAATTATTCAAATAATCAAAAATGGTGAGTAAACAATCATCTGGAAGTTCATTAATCAACATTGTAAAATAAACTTATGACGAAACTAGTTTTATTTTGAATCTTGTTCTTATAGAGTAAAGGTTAATTTAATTTTAGTTAACATAGATGTCAGCAGTAGATTGAGATGATTTATATTCTTAATTTAATTAAAAATTTAATTTATTTTAGTTTTAATTTATTTGTGTCAAAACAATCAAGGCTAGTCTGTTTCTAAAATAGATTCTAAATTTTAATGGATCTTCTGAGTTCATGTAGGGACAGTTGATATCATGTACTGATTAAAGCTCAGATCTAAAAAAATTTTCTTGCATCTCAAATGCTTCATTGACCAATAGTACATTGTAATGTATTATTTTTTATTTCTGTCAGGTTTATTTGGCCATACGAAGTTGATCATTGATAATTTGTTTTGCTTAAAAATAATATAAAAGAGTTTACAGAAATTGAAGCTACATTCGAAGAGACTGACAAATTGAAGTTATCCATCGCTTCTTTATTTTCCTCTGAAATCGATTCTTTGTCCAAAACGGCATCTCTTTAGATAAGACAGTAAATGCTATTCACTGAAAAACATCGAATAAAGTGATTAAAGTTTAGAGACTAATATCAAGCTCTTCGAATGGACATCGAGGTAAAAATAACAAGTACAATGTATGTAGTTTTCAATAATCAGAAACAGAAAAACATGGAAGGTCATCAAAATCTTTGAGAAAACAATTTTTCATGAAATCAAAACCTCGACTAATTTTTTGTTGTTTGGTGGACAACTGAGGCCAATCAGTTCCTATTTCATGGTAATTTCCTTCGAAGTAAAACTTGATTGATCTTCCATATCGTTTGCAATAATCTTCAACATAATTAGCAGTCCTTCGAGTGACTTCAGGACATTCACGAACATCAAGTAGCGCCACGAGTACACTCTAAGAATAGTTCAAGTATTTTAAGCTTTTCAAGTACTGGACCTTTGTATTGACTATCTGGAGATGAAAGATTGATTTTCATAGGCAAATGTTTCAGACGAAATATTTATGCAATAAATACCAATAATAGAAATATGTAGTCTTTCAAGATTCGGGAAATGATGTGCGACTCTTTTGAGATCCTCATAATCATTCCAAGTGTGCAATTGCTTTATACACGAACCATTTTGTAGGATATCTGGTTCAATACGATCGGATGATAGCATTTCGAGTTTATCACAATATTTTTCTATTGGAACATCAAGGAAATTGATTATTCCTTTCAAAGATTCATGATTTCTGACAAATGAAACCATATTTTTTGAATCTTTTACTTTCCTATAGAATTTATATAATACTGTCTAGAATCTGAAGAGAATTCCTCAGCCGAATTCTGAAAAATCTGAGTAGATGAGATAAATAAGAAAATTAATATTCAATGAAATATCTAAAAAGAAGTTTGATCAAAAATATTAACCTACTATTAAATTGGGAAATAACGTCATCAGACAGGTGCCATTAATTGAACCTAGTACTTGATAATAAACATAGTCAGATGAATACTCAGGATAATCTGAAAATAGAAATTTTTGCAATTAAGAAATTGATCGAAATGAGAATGAGCAACAAGAAAAATCTGAATCTTACCGACCAAACTTATAACCTTTTTGGTTCGCTCAGCAATTAAATGGCTCCATTTGATACACACTGCAATTAAATTTTAAATTAATAACTGAATTTAGTGTTTTTGCTCAATCATTATTCAATTTTCATAAAGCAACATAATTTAATCTGTAAAAATATTTAAATATTGCGCCACAACAGTCAAACGATTGAGTGTTGTTATGATCACAGGATAACAACTTATTCAGCTGAAACTTTTATAATGAATTATTATGATTAACACTCAGAGGTTAGGTTAGTTGACTCATAAAAGATGTTCCCTGGTCACTTCACATGAAGATTGTAATCACGACTGAAGGCAAGAAAAATTTCATGAATTAGATGATTTTATGAAAACATGATTGGTACTTACCTTTATAGCACCACGAAATTATGGTAAACCTACGGTCTTCCCTCAATCTTTTGATTTTAAACTCTACTATGAAAAACAAACGGAAAACATTTAACTGTGATATACAGTGAATAGTGATAGTACCAAATTTGATTAGTTGTTATAATGTTTAATATAGTTTTTAATTCTAGTAGATGCCACCAGTATATTGAGATAATTTGTATGATTCATCTCATCACTTAATTTCACCTGAAGTTGTGATTCTTTGGCCTCAACGGCATCTCTTTAGATTGCACAAAAAATTTTATTAATAGAAAAAAATAAAGAAATAAAGTGATACAAATAAGATCAAAGAGTAAAGAAGTATTGAAAAAGATATTGAATACAAAATCCCTAAATAGGCTTCCTGAGTATCATATAGCATATCAAAAATAAAAAATAAAGTAAAACCGATCAAAATTTGTACATCCAAAGGTTGTAAGCGGTCCAGCCATCTAGATAGATCACTATTGCACCAAGAATTAATTTGTAAGAAACTTACTCATAAGTCAGGTTAAACGTCAAATCCGCTAGATGTTGAGTTTCTTACAACCTATGAGAGTTCTTGTACTGTATGTGGTTTACAATAATCAATAGGAACCAAGAAATGGGGAAGGTCATTAAAATCTTTGAGAAAGCAATGTTTCATGAATTCGAAACCTCGACTGATTTTTTCTTTTTTAGTGGATAACTGAGGCCAATCTGATACGATTTCATTGCTATTTCCGTTGAAGTAAAACTTGATTGATTTTCCCTCTTGTTCATTAAGATCTTTAACACGATCAGCAGCTCCCTGAGTAACTTTAGGGCATCCACGAACATCAAGTAGCACTAAATTTGGTAAATTAGTCGCCAATTCCAGGATATGATCATCTAATAAGTTTTCACGTGCCCTCAATGCAAGGTGTTTGAGGTTTTTGAATTTAAATAACAGTTGTTTAATATCATCCCACTTGATTCGACTTTTATGACACTGTATATGTAGAGCAGATTTAAATCAATTAATTCTTTTTCACAAGGAAATACATTTACAGCGAATTAATACTTACGAAATTTATTACTAAATCTTGCAAACAATAATGATTAGGTGTGTCCGATGAACAAGTTTCCAAATTATCAGCTTCTACTTCAATATGTGCACTTTGTAAATTTGGACAAAAATTTATAATAAGATGGAAACCGTAATAAATGTTTGTGGTGCATTTACGAACATAAAATTTCGATTCAAATATTTTGAGATTTGTAAATTCTGGTCCATATTTTAGTCCATATTCTATATAGTGATGATCTGAAAAAAGAGCAATAAATTTTCATTATCAAATATTTTAATAAAAATGTATTCGTAATAACCTTTTCTATTATAAATATTTAGTCTTTCAAGATTCGGAAAATAATGTTTGTCTTGCACTCTTTTCTTTTTTCCATTAACGGGTTCCTTACTTATAAATTTTTTTGTTAAGGCACCTAAAGTATAATAGCGAAGGCGCAATTGTTTCACCTTTTCACCATTCTGTTTTACGTGGTGTTCAACACCATTGGATGATATCATTTCGAGTTGATTACAATTCCGTGTTATTCCTTTATAGTCTCGATAATTATAAATTAATCCTTTTAAAGTTTGTTGATTCGCGTTGATCAATTCAAAAATATGTTCACGTTTTACTCTTGCATTCAATTTAGGAGTAATATCAGCAATCTGCGTTGACGAAATAAAGGTGAATGAATGATTCAATAATTCGATAAAATCAACCTACCAGTAATTTTGTAAATGTAAGCAAATAGACTCCATTGTTCAGTTTCTCTATTTGGTAATGAAAATAATCCGCTGCATCATCCGGATAAGCTGCAAGTAGAAAGCATTTAATTTAAGGAATTGAGCATAATGAGAACAAGTATTGATGAAAAATTTTAATCTTACCAATCAAAAATCTAACTTGTTCAGCTCGACAATCGATTAAATCACTCCGATGGGGACACACTAGAATAACAAATATCATTAAGTTAGTATTTCATACGATTAAGGGAGCAATCAGATGAAGATGTTTAGCAATCAGGCTTTCTAGAAAAACTTTTTTGCCAAAAAACAAAACTTTATTGAAATTTATTAGATTGTTTCAATTACTTTCACAAGTTAGAAACACTTTTTGCTCTACTTTTTCAAGTTTTCATCTAGTGACTACACATAAGTAACGAAGAATTATATTAATCCTGTTTAAGATCAATAGTAAGATGAATCATAGCTTGGTTGAGGAAAAGCAATGATGCGAACCGTAAAATTTCGTTGATCGAAATACAGTAAGTTACCATTAATTGTTAGTAAATAGCTTATCTACACAGCAATAGCTATTCATCGAGCATAATACAGTAAGGTACCAGATAATGAGAATGCGTTGAAATAGCTTATTTACACTATTCGCCGGGCAACTTATTTTCTTGATTATCAACTTTCTTTAACTAATCAAATTCAAGATTAATTGATTTTTAAACTGATTTCTCGAGTTTCTTCATTGATATTTGGCGAAAGAAAATTAGATTCAGTTAATTAACAATCAAAGAAATTTAAAGGAAATTTAAATTTGATTCAACTCTTCCATTGAGGGGTCGTTGAAAAATTGATTCTCATTATCTGGTATTCTCATTATCTGGTACCTTACTGTATAAAATTCAATCAGATAATTTATGTAAAGAAAGAGGTTGAGGGACTGTTGAATAATCTGCAGTAGTATGGAAACATTCTGTTACAATTGCTTGTACTGACAATTAATGGTTACTTACTGAAACTAAATGAACACATTACTTTGGATATATTAAATGTGACTTTTGATGGAGAGAATCGCAGAAAGAGGACAGTGAAATGAATACAGTCACCTACCAAAAAATGCACCTACCAGAAACTGCACATAATTTTTTCAATGGTCCCTAACAAGGCGGAGTTTCATCTACTGTTTTATCTAATTTCGTCGAATTTTGATTCGATTTCTTTAATTATCAATAGGCTTAATTAAATTTTCTTTCGTGAAATATCAATCCAAAAACTCTCAAAATCAGTTGAAAGCAACATTTTTGCGTAAATTTGTTCTATTAAGGAAGATTGAAAATTATGAATTATGCTGCTCGACGAATGGTGTAAATAAGCTATTTCCAGGTTGATGCAGTTTCTGGTAGGTGACTGTATACCAGACACTGGTTGTAACAATAGGAGGGAAATAACGAAACTGTTAAATCGTTAAGAATATGGGGAAAATAATTTCAAAAGGACACATTTCGAAAAGGGATTCCAAAAACTTAACAGTTATGAACTACGATGTATTGATTAATAAAAATCTATGCAATGCAATGATATGCAAAATCTATCAATTAAACTAACTAAGTTCATGGAATGCAAGAGATAAAAACCATAACCAAATAAGTTATCATATTGGATGACGGCAAGGAAAACTAAGAATGAAAAGTGTCCACAAAGTAATTCTTAGTAAAGTAAAGTAAAGTAGTTCGGAGTAAAGCTTTCAAAAGTAGCACCTTTTGTTTTGATAATCAAAAGAGCATGTTAAACCACAGCATCACAATTAGTAGCCAAGTCTATTTAAAACAAGTCGACAAGAGCAAGTCAAGTCGACAAGAACTTTTAATGAACCGGCGACACCTAATCATCAAATAACTGGTTTAAAAATTGAGATTATTGCGGAAGCTTTGTAATACAATTTCAGTTTTACATGCGTTACAGTTAAAATTAAATTAATTATCATAATTACCTTCAGAGAAGTGGGGCAAATCATGGTTATCCAAAAACTTCAAAATGTTACAGAAAATGGGATCATAAAGATCAGGAAGTTCAGGTATTTGGTCTTGGCTGTTACTCATGGGAAATTTGTTTTTAACTAATGTTTTTTCTTGAATATTTTGACGGAAAGCTGAGAGTGAGACAGATACTTAGATACTTACAGATACTTACTCACTAGATTACTCACTTAATTGATGATAAGATTACATGATAACTCAATATATTTCTCATGTGTAGATGTCAGCAGCATATTAAAATAATTTTTAGGATTCATCTGATCTTCAGGATCTGAAAAAGTTTCATTTGTGACAGTTTTGATTATTTAAAGTTGAAAGTACATGAATTACTAATTACTAGTCGAGTAGGATTTCACAGTCCTAAAAACGGATAAATATAAATGTAGTTTGATCAAGTCGTGGTGCAAGATCGCTCGACATCCTGAGATGGGTCTTTTCAATTTACTCACATTTGAGGAAGATTGTTAGGCACCAGGAAAAGATTTGAAAATGTGGCGATTTCGCTCACATTTCCCAATATTCTGATGATGAGTTTCTCACAACCTTTGAGAGGTTTTACTGTATGTGTTTTCAATAATCAATAGGAATCAAGAAGCATGGAAGGTGGTGAAAATCTTTGCGAGAGCAATTTTACATGAAATCAAAGCCTCGGCTAATTTTTTCTTGTTTAGTGGATAACTGATGCCAATGTGATTGGGTTTTATCGCAATTTCTATTGAAGTAAACATAACTGATCTTTCATATCGTAGCCCAGTAGTCCTTTGAGTGACTCCAGGACAGCCATGAATATGCAATAACGTATGTAAAGTAAAAATGGAAATAATTTTCAATCTTTAATAACTCAGGAAATATTGGTGATGTACATTTGATTTTTGGCAAACTTTGAGAGAGTACTAATAGTTAGCGATTGAAGCATTAAATTTACATTGACATTTGTATTACTGCATTGGCTAAGATTTGAACCAATTACTCGCTATGTTCATCTTTTATGTAACGTACGTTCCTCAGCGAAAGATGTTTGATGTTCGGATATTTCATAAAAAATCTTTTTAAATCATTCCAGTCCAGACAGGAAGGACCACCCTGGAAATATAAGATAAATTAGTCAATATTGTTTTAATAAATTACCCTTCCATGTTGAATCAACATAACCTAATTCATTTTAAGCTGAAATAGACCGTATCATTTGTATTCCGAAAATATGTTCCAACAAAAAGCATTGACATTTCAGATGATTTGATACTTACAGACTTGAAGACATAGCCAAATCTTGCAGACATTCGTGTTTCAATGTTTCATCAACAGAAAAGCGATTAGTAGGCGTGAAAATAATGCACTTTGTAAATTTAGACATGAATCCATGAATTGGAAGGCATAACAAACACCGTGAGAATATAATGAGCACAGTTCAACAATTTTAAGCTTTTCCAATACTGGATCAACGTAGTAACCACCTGGATATGAACGATAGATTTTCATAAGGAAACATTTCTCATGAAAATATTTATACAATCACCATTAATATAAATATTAAGTCTTTCAAGATTCAGGAAATAATGAGTATCTCTTTTGAAATGTTGATAATAATTGAAAGTGTGAAATTGTTTTAAGCTGCAATGATTTCGTGGAATGCTTGGCTCAATACGACCGGAGGATATCATTTTGAGTTTATCACAATATTTGTCTATTCGTGTGTTAGATGAATTGATTGATCCTTGCAAAAATCCATGATTTCTGACAAATAAAACGATACCTTCTATCTTCAATATTCCAATTTCGAGTGTAACCAAACCTATTGTAATGAGCTGAAAATGATAGCAACAAAAACATTGCACAAAGAGGCAAACTAAATGAATGTTAGTCTCAACTTGAGAATGGCAATTTTTCAGATTTTCAGTTCATTACAATAGGTCTGGTTACACTCGAAATTGGAATAAAAATTGAAGCAAAAATTTACAGGCGCAACACTTTACCAAACATCTTTTTTGTCTTATTTCCATCGATTCATCATGAAATTTCCCAAATCAAATCGTACCAGGAGGGTCCCTTGCCTAGTACGTGGAAAGGATAAATAAGAAAATTATTAATAATCAAGAAAAATCCGAAAAGGTATTCGATTAATAATATAAATCTTTTAAATTGTTAAAATAATCTAATTGTAAAGGCGGGGAAAATCTTGAATCCCAAAGATGGCGTTACTAAATTTCATACAACCTTTGCGAGGTTTAACTGTATATGATTTTTATGATACAAAAAACATGATTGATAATTACCTTCATAGAAGTATTAAATCATCAAATTCATTCAAAATGGCATGCAAACCATCATCTGGAAGTCCATTGATCAACATTGTAAATAAACTTATAGCAAAAACTAGTTTTGCATTGATTATTGTGTTTGTAGACTCTACTATGTACCTGGTAAAGCCTATTTTTACACAGAAATTATCTCCTTAGATTCAATTCGCTGATAAATGATACTTGATTTGATTGGATGAACAGCTTCGGCGGTAGTTTTGTTTTTCACTTCGTTGATGCTGATCACAATCACTTCCTCCTGTTCGAGTAAACTTTCATTTTTTCACACAAACACTGAATTTAAAACACATGGGTTAAATTCGGTTATTAATTAGATAATCAAGGTTGAATTAACAATTATTGTTATGACCTATGTTAATATTATGTTAAAGGCTTGATCATTCGAATGTATAATTTCATTTTTACTCACATGAAAAATTTTCATTTGTTTATTGGTTATTGAAAATTCAAAGTTCAACATCGGAGATATCTCTTTAAATTAGACAATAAATATAATTTACTGAAAAACAGATCGTGAAATAAAGTGGTTAACTATAATACTTTAAAATCTTCGATTGGGCTTCGAGTTAAATAACAAATATATTAATAAGCATGTGATTTCCAATAATCAATAGGAATTAAGAAATATGGAAGGTCATAAAAATCTTTGCGAAAGCAGCGTTTCATGAGCGATCTTTTAAATCGTTCCAGTAGACTCCGCCAAAATACTATGAACATGCAATCAAACAGTTTATATTGATAAATGAACAGATTACTCTTCTATGCTGACGGTACATAGCTTTTTTGAGCATAATCATAGTAAATTGGTCGAATAAATTTGGATAACTAGAATTTTTTCAAAAAGATTCAAAAACTATTTGACAATTTATTCACCTTTCACGATATTCTGTAACCTCTATGGAAGTTAAAGTTTATCTACTGGTCTGCAACCTTATCTAAAGTTCAAATTCTTTGGCCCCAAAGAAAACTCTTTAGACAATAAATATTATTCACAAGAAAAACAAGCCATGTAATAAAGTGATTGGAGAAAGCAGATTTATCTCAAGATCTTCAGATGGGCTTTTGAGGGTTAAAATAACAAATACATTAAAAGTAAGTGGTTTTCAATCATCAATAGGAATCAAGAAACATGGAAGGTCTCGAAATTTTTTAAGAAAACAATGTTTCATGAAATCAAAACCTCGACTGATTCTTTCTTTTTTAGAGGACAACTGAGGCCAATCTGACTCGATTTCTTGGTAATTGCCTCTGAAGTAAAACTTGATTGATCGTCCATATCGTTTACAATAATCTCGGACATACTTAGCAGCTCTTTGAGTGACCCAACGACATCCACGAGCATCAAGTAGCACTAAATTGGGTAACATGTGAACCAATTCCTCGATATGTTCATCTGTTATGGTAGATTGTCTCCACAACGCAAGATGTTTGAGATTCGGATATTTCATAAGTAATCTGTTCAAATCATCCCATTCGATTGACATAATACGTTGCTGAAAATGTAAAAACAATTAGTTTAAATAAATATTTTTTGAACAGATCGTCCTTGCTAATTTGTAACCTAACTTTTTCAATTTCAATTTGAATAAACTTGGACTAAAAAATATTTTTCAAAAAAGCAATTACATTGCAAATCGAGTTAATACTTACAGTAGTTAAAACTAAATCTTGCAAACTTTCGTGCTTTAATGTTCCATCAAAAAAGAAGCGATTAGTTTCCACGGTAATATGTGCACTTTGTAAATTTGGACATGAATCAATGAACTGGAAATCATAACAAACTGGGTTTCGAAATATACTCCTGAGGCGAAATTCAGCTATTTTAAGCTTTTCCAATACTGGACCATCGTAGCAGTGAGATTCAACATTTTCCATATTTAATCTTTCAAGATTTGGGAAACAATGCGCGTCTTTTTCGAATAGATCTAACCTTACCACTTCGAACAATTGTTTTATCCTGGAACCATGTTGAATGCTTGGCTCAAATAAATTGAAGGATACCATTTTGAGTTGAAAACGATATTTTTCTATTGGTCCATAAAATGTGTCGAATGATCCTTGCCAAGATTCTCGATTTCTGCCCAATGCAAAATTATCTTTGCGTTTTTCTTTCTCCTCGAGTTTGTAAGAAATCTAATATAATAATATAGTAAAGAAAATGCTTTATATTTTTCAAGTTGACAAGATGAATAACAAAATGAATATAAACTCAAAATTAAGTAATCATATCAACCAACCATTAAATCTGGAAATACTGTGCTTAAATGAGTTCCGTCAACATTTTTTAATGCTCGATAGTAATGGCAATCATGACCCGGGTAAAGTTCTGAAAATACATGTATAAATTGATCACAATATTAAGTATGAAGAGTGAATCAAAAGAAATTTGGAACTTACCCATCAAATATTTAACTTTCCTCGTTCGCTCAGCAATTAAATGGCTCCATTTGATACACACTGCAATAAAAAAGTTATTGGATTACTAAAATTTCAGTTGATTTACTTAATTTTAATTCAATTGGCTTCATAATTCTAACAATCTACAAAACATTTTTAAAAATATTAAAGAACTACGCTTCAGCAGTCAGATAATGGATTGATGTAATGGTCATAAGATACCAAAAGATGCTTCTATTCAGATGAAACTTTCATATTTTTATAATAATACTTGACAAGGTCAGAAGTTAGTTGACTTATATAAGAGTGTATTTGGTCAATACGGCTAGAACATCAAATATTTGACTAGATTCATTTAGCAAATCGGGATTATCGCTGAAGGTATGGAAAATATCAATGGATTTTATGATGCAAAAAATCATGATTGGTACTTACCTTTATCGCAGTTTGCTAAATCAATGAAATTATTCAAATAATCAAAAATGGCGAGTAAACAATCATCTGGAAGTTCATTAATCAACATTGTAAATGTACTTAAGGCGAAACTACAGTGTTTCCTTGAATCTGGTGATTTTGTTTTATAACACAGAAGTATAGAGAGATCGGAACGTTTTCGGTGCAAGGGGCGAAGCCTTATCTGCCTAAAAGAGTAACTCTGAATAAAACAAAAACCAAACAGTGTCTCTGCGCGTAGAAGGGGAAAAAGCCCCTTACTCAAAGAGTATAGCTATAACTCTTTGCCCTCACACCAGAAACTTTGTAGTATCCGATCACTCTGCAGTTGTTAGGCAATCTTCACACTCGCCATCTATGGGATTATCTAATTTTTCAGAACCTGGAGAGAAGGTGAATTAAACTAATTATCTTAATCTATTACTGACATTTATTTGAATTACAGGTAGAAACAATATTAACTGATACATTCTGATGATCAACTGAAATATGTTAAACAATTTATCTCGGCATCTCTCTAGACTAGACAATAAATGCTATTCACTAAAAAACAAATCATGAAAAAAAGTGATTCAAAAATAGAGATTGTATACAAACTCTTGGAATGGGTTTCCGAAGCCAAAGAGCAACAAATATCTTGGTTTGAATATCTGAATATGTAGTTTCAATAATCTTCAGGAATCAAGAAACATGGAAGGTGATGAAAATCTTTGAGAAAACAATTTTTCATGAAATCAAAGCCTCGACTAATTTTTTCTCGTTTAGTGGACAACTGAGGCCAATCAGTTCCTATTTCATGGTAATTTCCTTCAAAGTAAAACTTGATTAATCTTCCATATCGTTTACAATAATCTTCAACATAATCAGCAGCCCTTTGAGTGACTGCTGGACAATCATAAATATCAAATAACACTAAATTCGGTAAAATTTGAACCAATTGCTCGATATGTTCATCTTTTATGTAGCGCACGTTCCTCAACGAAAGATGTTTGAGATTCGGATATTTCATAAACAATCGTGTTAAATCATTCCAGTCCAGACATGAAGGACCACCCTGGTGATATAAAATCAATTAGTTTACATTGTTTAAAAATGACTCTTCCATGTTGAATTAACATAACCTAATTCATTTTAAGCTGAAATAGATTGAATCATTTGGATTCCGAAAAAAGCAATGACATTTCAGATGGTTTTGATACTTACATAAGACATAACTAAATCTTGCAGACATTTGTGTTTCAATGTTTCATCAACAAAAAAGCGATTAGTAGGCGTGAAAATATGTGCACTTTGTAAATTTGGGCATGAATCCATTAACTGGAAAGTAACATAACAAACGCCATGAGGGTATAATAAACACAGTTCAAGTATTTTAAGCTTTTCCAATACTGGACCAGCGTAGTAACCACCTGGATATGGACGATAGATTTTCATAAGGAAACATTTCTCATGAAAATATTTATATAATCACCCTTAATATAAATATGAAGTCTTTCAAGATTCGGGAAATAATGAGCATCTCTTTTGAAATCTTGATAATAATTCAAAGTGTGCAATTGTTTTAAGCTGCAATGATTTCGTAGAATGCTTGGCTCAATACGACCGGAGGATAGCATTTCGAGTTTATCACAATATTTTTCTATTCGTTCTTTAGATGCATTGATTATCCCTTTCAAAGATTCATGATTTCTGACAAATGAAACAATATCTTCAATCTTTGAGTTGCTTTTACAATGAAATATATTGGAAACATCAGCAATCTAAGTGGATAAGATAAATAAAAAAATTAATATTCAGGAAAATCTGAAAAGGTATTTGATTAATAATATAAACTTACCATTAAATTTGGAAATAATTTGCTCAGACAGGTTACATCAATAAAGTCCTTTTTTTGATAATAAACACAATCAGAAGAATAGTCAGGATAATCTGAAAAAATCTGTGATTCATTGATTCTTTGATTCTGTGATCTTTCTGTGATTAAGCAATTGATCGCAATGAGAATCTTGAGAATTTTGGATCTTACCAATAAAGTATTTAACTTTTTTGGTTCGCTCAGCAATTAATTGATTCCATTTGATACAGACTGAAATGAAAGTTTTACTGATTGTCTAAAATTTAGTGTTGATTTGCTCAATCATTATTCAATTGCCTTCATAAACAACACAACAAAACTTAATCCGTAAAAATATTCAAACACTGCGCCTCAACAGTGTTGTTATGTGTGTTATCAGATTGAGTGTTGTTATGATTACAGGATAACAAAAAATGTTTCATTCAGATAAACTTTTATGAAAATACTCAGAGTAGATACCGAAGCTAACCTGGTCTGGCTAAAAACTGTGAAAATTGGCTTATAACTGACTGAAAGCTAAGCTATCTTGCTAATATTGAAGTAATGTATAATGATTTATGCGCAAACATCAAGTCACAGGCCGTTTTGAATTAAAGACCAAACTCTGGCTAAGCAGCTAAATTAGCTAAGCTAATCTTATGGCTGACTTTAAGCTACTCGTGTGCGCAATGCGCATCTAGTTAGCTTGATTTTCACTGGCTTCGGTAACTCAAAGTCAGGAGCTACACTTCTGTATTTGACTAATATGACTTTATCCGGCCACTTCAGCTAGTACAGCAAATAGTCGGCTATGTTGCCTTGAAAAATTGTGATTATCGCTGAAGCTATGAAAATTTGAATGCAAATACAGTAAAACCTTGCAAAGTTTGTACTAGCAAGGTAGTGTGCGGTCTCGTCGTGAGCGATAATGTTTATGCAACTCTTTTAAATTATTAAGGTAATTGATTAGTAAAAGCGAGCAAAATCTTAAATCCCAAAGATGGCGTTACTAACAATTTCATACAACCTTTGCGAGGTTTAACTGTATATGATTTTCATGATACAAAAAAACATGATAGATAATTACCTTTATAGCAGTTTATTAAATCATCTAAGTCATTCAAATAATCAAAAACGGCATGCAAACAATCATCTGGAAGTTCATTGATCAACATTGTAATATAAAATGATAGCAAAAACTAGTTTTGCATTGTTAATTGTGCTTGTAGACTTTACTGTGTACATATGTAACTAAAGCTGTACGATTACATCGATTACAATTTTAATCGACTGGCTTAAGTAAAAGAATTATCGATCAGACAAAAAGTTAATCGATTGGTAAACATACAAAATCTATCTTGTGAAGTTTTTGTTTTTCACGCTGAATTTTCGGGGAATTCTCAACGAATTCTTATTTTTAATGGTTTCTTGTTTTTTGTTAACCAATCGATTAATCGATGGTCGTATGAAATTATTGAATTATAATCCATTATCTAATTATTAACAATCGAATAAGGTTTCACAGTCGTAAAGAATGGATAAATATAAATTTACTTTGATCAAGTCATGGTGCAAGATTGCTCGACATCCTGAGATTGCACTTTGCAATTTATTCACATTTTGAACAAGATTTTTAGGCAATATTGTTGCAATTTGTTCACGTTTCCCGATATTCTGAAACCTCTGTAATTCAAAAGTTATTTATTTATTTGATTCTTCGACCTCAACAGTCTCTCTTTAGATATGACAATAAACGACATTCACTAAAAAACAAATCATGAAACTGGAATGAAATTTTCATTGAATTAATAAAATTAAGTGTTAATGTGATCAAGCATTAATCAACTGCCTCCAGAATTAACACAACATGATTTAACACCTGTAAAAAAAATCAGATACTACGCGTCAACAATCAGATGATTGAGCGATGTTATGATCACAGGATAACAAAAAATGTTTCATTTAGATAAAACTTTTATGAAAATACTCAGATTCAGAAGTTAATCGACTCATATACAAACGCATGTAAGACTTTCATGATACAAATGTAAATGAGTTGGTAATTACCTTATAGCAGATTTTTAATCACCCAAGTTATTCAAATAATCAAAAATGGTGAGTAAAAAATCATCTGGAAGTTCATGTATCAACATTGTAAATAAACTTAAGCAAAAACTAGTTTTGTCTTGTTTATTGTGCTTTTAGACTCTACTACCTAAAAAACGGAAATGTGAATGACTAAATTTAATTGATCTTTAGAACGCATAATTTAATTTTTATTCACATAGA